AAAACGTGCATTACGTCTACATTAACTCATAAAAATCAAATATAACAATTATGAACAAAACAGCATCATGTATTTATGCATTGCTTAATCCAAAGAGCCGAAGCGCCACTCAGACTGCATTTAAAAACATATGAAACGCAGTGAAAAGGAATAAACCTCCACAAATTCGTGACGTTTAAACTGTTTTAACTTTGCTTGGCTTTCTATACAACTCTTGTGTGAGACGCGAGTGCAGCAGTCATATTTGTCTGTCTAAAAATGCGCTGAATATGCATTCTGTGTGACTGGCTTGGTTTCGGTTTTAACCCATTCAAGATCTTCTCCGCATTGAGCCTCTATATTTCTCTAATATTTTGAATGCATAACACAGCAGCGGCGCATCTCGTGGGCTAGACTAACAAAACATTAAAATGCAACAACGTCACTTACATCACCACATCTCACGCACCACTGATGACACTCCCTGATGCACACCTAACATTCAAATGCAAATGTTTATTTTAAATTCGACTAATACTCACTCTTTATTCACAATCTCCTCATCACAGGCAGGCACAGCACTCATTTCAGCCTGTGTTTGTGTGTGCTGTCTGCGTCACTCATAGCACGTGCCTATATCGTGCACTATATCGATAATTTTTTCTATCGATATTGAAGGTGTACCGTCGATAAATATTGATACCGTTTGTGACGAGAGGGGCGGGGCCGAGAGCCGTGGGAACGGAGCGAGGCCGGTGGAGTAATTGCTAATGCGCGACACCTGCACCACTCACCGGTCTCACGGAGGAGCTCCGGAAGGATAAAGAGGAGGAGTGACGACCGTGTTAGACGAGAGAGGACCAGGCCTGGATTTTATTTTGTGTTTTGGTTTCATTTGTGCGCGGCAGTCGTCCGCAAGGGGCTGTCGCGCTATTTTGTGTTTATTTTATTATTAAAGTTTTCTTTGAGTGTTCGCCGGTTCCCGCCTCCTTCTTCCCGACCTACAAACATTGTTACACCGTTTTATCGCCCAGGCCTAAACGCAACATCTGTACGACCCGATTAATATTCACACCCTATACCATAACTTTGCTTCAAACATACATGCATGATGTGTTTTTGTCAGAAACGGCAAAATGGAATGAACAGACCCCAGGAGCCTTGATGTTCGTTTTCCCTTTTGCAAACGTGAGGATTGGGAGAGATGTGTAATAAAATGAATTTTTAATAAAATTCCAGAAATAAATGGTGTCTTTTTAAATAAAGTAAGAATTTATGCTACAGTGCAAAAGTTTGGGGTCTGTAAAAAAAAAAAAAAAGTTTTTGAAGTCTTTTATGTTCCCCAAGGCTACATTTATTTGAACACGAATACAATAAAAACAGTAATATTGTGAAATTATATTTTAATTTAAAATGAGTATTTTCTATAGTATATTTAAAAAAGGAAATTTATTCCAGTGGTGGCAACGCATCCGTTACTCCAGTCCCGGTTACGTTTGATCATTTGTCTCCTTGATCTCCTTGTCTCCTTTGTCTCCTTGAAACCTTTGAACAGTAGAGTATATATTAGAGATCGACCGATATGGGTTTTTCTATAACCGATGCCGATGTTTAGAGGTCAGGGTCAGCCGATGGCCGATATGTGCTGCCGATATCTTGAAGTTTTCCCCTTCATTTGCATGCTAAAATGTCACACTAATAATAAATGGATGCACAACATTTCTAAACTTAACATCATCATTTATTGAACACTGACTTGAACCGTCTCTCGAATCTTAATTTTGTGCACTGCACGGTGTTAAAATAAAATATTTATCCAAAGTTAACCAAACAAATCAATAAACTTACCAAGTATTAAATATATAAAACAGTTAATATATATATATATATATATATACTAAAACAATATGAAGTGTCACTGGTTTTGATAACAGGAAGTGTTGTTGCATTAGTTAAGACCACAGGGGAAGACATGTGTGTGTAACATCAAAGAAAAACTACTGCTACAGATGTTTTTTTGCAGGTAGGTTTTCAGAAATGCCAGCTGAATGCATAGATGAATATACAGTAGGCTGCCACTTGCAGTATTTAGAGTTGTGAGTGCTTTTGCCTGTTGTATTATGGGTGCAGTTGTTTCACCAGACACCATATTTATTAGATGGTGAACCTGATCTGGATATCTACTTGTGTGCTGCATTTATGATTAAACCTTTCATTCCTTTCTGCTTTCAAGCATTAATTCTTTATCTCAGGGTGCTATGCTAACAAATTCTGGTTAGGAGCAAATACAAATTCTTTGCATGCTGTAGACCCATCAAAATAAAATGTTAGAAAATATTAAGCAGACAGTCTACTAATACTCTAATGACCGCTAGTTGACATGTAGTTGCAAAGTTACTTACTGTTAGTAGAATGTCTAAAGTGGACTATCAAAATAAAGTGTTACTGCAACTAGGGCTGTGCGATATAGCAAAAAAATTTATCAACGATATAATGTTTCATATCATTCAGTATCGATAATTATTGACTTTTTATAACCTTTTTTTAAAACAAAAAGCAATAGAATTTTTTTTATTTTATTTAACCACTGTATTTATAATTAACACAATTTATTGAGACAAACAACAAATATTTTTTGTTTTAACAATCAAACACAATAAAAATTAAACAAATATCTAATGTTTTATATGCAGATTAAATAGGTCTTTCTTGTATAGGTCTAATTGTCTCCCGAGGCCACAGGAGGGCCGCAATGAGCAAAATAATGCAGTGCATTTAGCAAGTAACTCTATAAAAACGTGCATTACGTCTACATTAACTCATAAAAATCAAATATAACAATTATGAACAAAACAGCATCATGTATTTATGCATTGCTTAATCCAAAGAGCCGAAGCGCCACTCAGACTGCATTTAAAAACATATGAAACGCAGTGAAAAGGAATAAACCTCCACAAATTCGTGACGTTTAAACTGTTTTAACTTTGCTTGGCTTTCTATACAACTCTTGTGTGAGACGCGAGTGCAGCAGTCATATTTGTCTGTCTAAAAATGCGCTGAATATGCATTCTGTGTGACTGGCTTGGTTTCGGTTTTAACCCATTCAAGATCTTCTCCGCATTGAGCCTCTATATTTCTCTAATATTTTGAATGCATAACACAGCAGCGGCGCATCTCGTGGGCTAGACTAACAAAACATTAAAATGCAACAACGTCACTTACATCACCGCATCTCACGCGCCACTGATGACACTCCCTGATGCACACCTAACATTCAAATGCAAATGTTTATTTTAAATTCGACTAATATTCACTCTTTATTCACAATCTCCTCATCACAGGCAGGCACAGCACTCATTTCAGCCTGTGTTTGTGTGTGCTGTCTGCGTCACTCATAGCACGTGCCTATATCGTGCACTATATCGATAATTTTTTCTATCGATATTGAAGGTGTACCGTCGATAAATATTGATACCGTTTGTGACGAGAGGGGCGGGGCCGAGAGCCGTGGGAACGGAGCGAGGCCGGTGGAGTAATTGCTAATGCGCGACACCTGCACCACTCACCGGTCTCACGGAGGAGCTCCGGAAGGATAAATAGGAGGAGTGACGACTGTGTTAGACGAGAGAGGACCAGGCCTGGATTTTATTTTGTGTTTTGGTTTCATTTGTGCGCGGCAGTCGTCCGCAAGGGGCTGTCGCGCTATTTTGTGTTTATTTTATTATTAAAGTTTTCTTTGAGTGTTCGCCGGTTCCCGCCTCCTTCTTCCCGACCTACAAACATTGTTACACCGTTTTATCGCCCAGGCCTAAACGCAACATCTGTACGACCCGATTAATATTCACACCCTATACCATAACTTTGCTTCAAACATACATGCATGATGTGTTTTTGTCAGAAACGGCAAAATGGAATGAACAGACCCCAGGAGCCTTGATGTTCGTTTTCCCTTTTGCAAACGTGAGGATTGGGAGAGATGTGTAATAAAATGAATTTTTAATAAAATTCCAGAAATAAATGGTGTCTTTTTAAATAAAGTAAGAATTTATGCTACAGTGCAAAAGTTTGGGGTCTGTAAATTAAAAAAAAAAAGTTTTTGAAGTCTTTTATGTTCCCCAAGGCTACATTTATTTGAACACGAATACAATAAAAACAGTAATATTGTGAAATTATATTTTAATTTAAAATGAGTATTTTCTATAGTATATTTAAAAAAGGAAATTTATTCCAGTGGTGGCAACGCATCCGTTACTCCAGTCCCGGTTACGTTTGATCATTTGTCTCCTTGATCTCCTTGTCTCCTTTGTCTCCTTGAAACCTTTGAACAGTAGAGTATATATTAGAGATCGACCGATATGGGTTTTTCTATAACCGATGCCGATGTTTAGAGGTCAGGGTCAGCCGATGGCCGATATGTGCTGCCGATATCTTGAAGTTTTCCCCTTCATTTGCATGCTAAAATGTCACACTAATAATAAATGGATGCACAACATTTCTAAACTTAACATCATCATTTATTGAACACTGACTTGAACCGTCTCTCGAATCTTAATTTTGTGCACTGCACGGTGTTAAAATAAAATATTTATCCAAAGTTAACCAAACAAATCAATAAACTTACCAACCCATTTGAGCGCTCAGTCGTAACCTTCCATCACCACCGAAGTGTTTTATTTTAATTTTTTTTTATAAATGAACATAGCTTGATCTCAGCCAGTTGATCATGCTTGTACCTGACTTTAAATCAGCGCTACTAAACACGGATATCGGCCGATGCCGATATATTAAAAAAATGACAAATATCGGCCCGATATATCGGTCGACCTCTAGTATATATTAATCATATTATGTATGTTAATCGATTCTCAAAATAGTTGCTGCCCTAATGGAATTTATATTGTGTGCCCTTTCGATCTCCCTCAGAATCTAACCTTTATACTGACTGGCTGTACTGTTTTTGTTTTTATCTGCAGGTGTGAATGTGTCATCAATGACCTCTCGCTCTCTTTCTGTCCCTGCAGGTGTGTGTGGAGGAGTCTATGTATCGGTATGGAGTATAGTGCCGACAGCAAACTGGATGACAGGGAGTGCAGACAAGCCTCGCATGCTCACACACTGATCACTGGTGTACAGTGACTGTTGCTGCAGACTTCAGCAGGATTCCATCCTTTGTATGATTTTACCTCTTATTTCTTCAAGCTGGACTCTTAATTTCTTGATTTTTGGACGCCTTTTGTGAGCTGCCTTACCCCCCCCCCCCTTTCCCCTTTTCCCTTTTCTCTCCCTCTCCACACTTCTCTTCCCTCTCTCCCCTTCATTCTTCCCTGTTGACCTTTTGATCAAATTTGGATCAGCCTGTGCACTAAGATGAGTTGGCTGAGTCGTTTAAATCCAAGAGGTCCAGGCACTCAGACCAGTCGACATGCAGCCCCATCCAGCCCATGCACTGCCGACCCTGAGACTTGTCTTATGGTGTTTGAGAACCACTGGAGACAGGTGAGACACAGCATAGTCTTATTTTCTTTCATAATAATTGTGTAAATAAACTCCTTAAACTGCAATCATGTAAATTGAATTTTGTGCTTTTACTTGTTAACGAAGTATGAACTATCAGTCAGAGGGCAGAAGGCATGTAGTAGATTGTGTACAACAGGTTTTTCAGCAAAGTTTTGATTGTTGATGAAACAGCTTACAAATTCATGTATCAAACATGATAATGTGGGCTTTATAGGGTTAAAATTAATGCTCTGCATGCTGCTCTGACTAAAAGGCTCATAATTGTCTTTCCTTATTAATAAGGCAAAACACTTGGTTTATTTGCTTGGTTTGTAATTTGGAAATGTGTGTTTTATGTGAAAACAAATGCCTTTATAGTTTTATGTCTTTAGGGCATGTCAGTAACCTTTTATGCTCAAATATAATGCATACAGTAGGTACACCCACACATCAGCAGGTTTTCCTCCTTAGTGTCAGTGCTCTCTTATTTGGATTGTTTTCAACTACATCAATATAGACACCTTTTCCTCTTTGACCTTGCCACAAATAGAATTTAACTGTTCCTTGTCTTTTTGTCAGGTGTCAGGGGTGTTGAAACAGAGAGAGTCTTCAGTGGGCGGTTATGCCGATGATCTCACTGCAGTTCGCAATCACACAGATCAGATGCTGTGCCTGCTAGCTGAAGAGAGACCAGCAGGGGGAGACATTGAATCACCAGGTTAAAACACTCTCCTGTGAGCTCGATGGAGCATACATTTGTGCTGTTTCACAGTTTAGTGTAATATATGAGAGGCTGCTTTATGTGACAATGGATTGTGAAATGTCTGCAGCAATGGGTCCTATTCTGGAGATGGTGGTGGCAGAGAACATCCTTGATGAGTTGGTACAATGGCATTTGCGCCGTGGTCTGGCTCCAGACAGCCAGCTGGAGCTGTTGAAATTGTTTGAGATGCTGATCGGACAGTCACATCAGCCCCTGCTCCTGCACAGTCCAGTGCTACAACCGCTCCTAAGCCTGCTGGGAGCATGTGTGGATCCCCAGCTGGGCTGCCCTGCTGCCCTAGAGTCCAGCCTCGTACTGCTGCTAAATCAGGTGAGATGAAACAGAGCTTACAAATTCATGTATCAAACATGATAATGTGGGCTTTATAGGGTTAAAATTAATGCTCTGCATGCTGCTCTGACTAAAAGGCTCATAATTGTCTTTCCTTATTAATAAGGCAAAACACTTGGTTTATTTGCTTGGTTTGTAATTTGGAAATGTGTGTTTTATGTGAAAACAAATGCCTTTATAGTTTTATGTCTTTAGGGCATGTCAGTAACCTTTTATGCTCAAATATAATGCATACAGTAGGTACACCCACACATCAGCAGGTTTTCCTCCTTAGTGTCAGTGCTCTCTTATTTGGATTGTTTTCAACTACATCAATATAGACACCTTTTCCTCTTTGACCTTGCCACAAATAGAATTTAACTGTTCCTTGTCTTTTTGTCAGGTGTCAGGGGTGTTGAAACAGAGAGAGTCTTCAGTGGGCGGTTATGCCGATGATCTCACTGCAGTTCGCAATCACACAGATCAGATGCTGTGCCTGCTAGCTGAAGAGAGACCAGCAGGGGGAGACATTGAATCACCAGGTTAAAACACTCTCCTGTGAGCTCGATGGAGCATACATTTGTGCTGTTTCACAGTTTAGTGTAATATATGAGAGGCTGCTTTATGTGACAATGGATTGTGAAATGTCTGCAGCAATGGGTCCTATTCTGGAGATGGTGGTGGCAGAGAACATCCTTGATGAGTTGGTACAATGGCATTTGCGCCGTGGTCTGGATCCAGACAGCCAGCTGGAGCTGTTGAAATTGTTTGAGATGCTGATCGGACAGTCACATCAGCCCCTGCTCCTGCACAGTCCAGTGCTACAACCGCTCCTAAGCCTGCTGGGAGCATGTGTGGATCCCCAGCTGGGCTGCCCTGCTGCCCTAGAGTCCAGCCTCGTACTGCTGCTAAATCAGGTGATTGACAGGCAGATGCTGACACCTGTTTGAACTAGGGATGCACCGAATGTTCGGCAACTGAATAAGCGAAAAGACCGAATAAATTGGACCGAACAATGACGTGATGCGATCAAATAGAGGCACACGCTAATGCAACAAACATGACGGCAGTGTGTAAACAGCTGTCCGAGAAAGACGAAAAATCATTACAAGCACCGACAGCAAGAGACTGTTTTAGTACTGCATCGCATGTCTTCGATGAGAAGAGGAAGGGTGGTTGTTGCTGGTTACTGTATGATGATTAAAATCGCGAATGCCCTTAAACAATTAAATAAACTGGAGAATGTTATGTTTTCTAATACATGCAGGAATTGCATGTGTTCAAACAGGGTTCAAAGTCCAAAGCGCGAGGGAAATCTGCGCTGAAACTGTGTTACTCGTCAGCTGCTCGGTAACATTTTTATGAATTTTTACAAGGCATGTGACAATGCGATACGTGCAACAAACATCTTGCCAAATTCGTAATGAGAATCATTTGTCAACCGAAAGAAGCACTGAGGTCTTCCTGCGGGTTTCTGCCAAAATATAAGTTGAGAAAAAGCAAGAACTCCATCAACATTAATAAATGTTATTATTGTCATTTTACTGTTGCTCTGTAAAATAAAATAAAAAATGAAAATAATAATTACAACAGCTCTATTAAAACATTTATTGTAACATTTACACATAGTGTTCAGACTAGGATCTATAATATTTTCTAATGTTTTAAAAGAAGTCTCTTCTGCTCAGCAAGGCTGCATTTATTTGTAAGGCAAAAATACATGCCTGATTCAAGAAGGGGGTCTAAAAAATGGCCAAAAAATATTATTTTACTAACTTATTAATTTTAAGTTAAGTTGTGTTTTATTGGTATAATGTCTGCTAGAATGCTAAAAGAAATTCAGTGATAAGTAAATTTTTTTAAATTGTTGTTTTGTAAATGATTTTTTTCTTTGAAAAGCAAGACAAAACAGTAAAAAGCACATTTTGGGTATTTCATTTATGCAATGGTGAAAAAATTGGCAAAATGGGGGGAAAAACATGAAAAACCATGTTCGGTATTCGGCCTTTGGCCCAGTGTTTCATTTTGTTCGGCTTCAGCCAAGAATTTTCATTTCAGTGCATCCCTAGTTTGAACCATTTATTGTTAGTCATGACCAGGCCTGCACAGAACCTGCTCTGCAGACTCGTCATTTGTGCATTTTCCCATATTTAAATTGATTCCACAGAATTTTGCAGATTACAATCATTGAACCGGTCTTTGTCCTTGAGTTCCATTAGTTCCAGAGTCAACATTTTTGGAACAACATTTATGACAACCAATCAAATTGAGCTTAGAACCTGGTTACACATTTTTCCTGTAATTTAATGGTTAGGTTATGAAGTTTTGGGTTAGGGGTCTGGATTGGGTTAGAACTTATTTTTCTGACAGGAATATTTTTCCAGGACCAACAAAACATTCTGCAAAATTAGAATATGTGATTACAATCCGCACAGAAACAAAACTCCATGTTGGTCTTCTCAAGACTCAAAATATTTGACAGATCTTGACATAAACCATCCTTGCTATTTTACAATTCTCCACTCAAATGAGGAGTAAAACTAATTATTTAAATTAGTTGCAATTGGTCTCTGGGTTTTTTTCCCCAAATGGAAATGCTCTAATTAGTTATTTGAAAAAGCAGGCCAGAAATTTCATATGAACCCAAGCATGAAGGGTGCATACAGCTGTAATGTACAATGATTTTGTGCATAATTTAATATGAATGTGTTTTCCTAATTTGTAACTAAATAATGTTGGTTTGTGTCAGGTATGTGTGTGCATGGCGAAGGAAACTGCAGTTTTGGAGTTGATATTTAGGTGTGGACCGGTACAGCAGGGTCCCACTAACCTGCTGATCTTCTCCCTGTTGGTGCCATTTATTCATCGAGACGGCTCTCTGGGGCAGCAGGCCCGTGATGCGCTGCTGCTCGTCATGGCAACCTCTGCCAGCAACCACGCTGTTGCACGTCACATCGCAGAGAACTCCTACTTCTGCCCAGTAAGCATGAGTGTGTTGTTGTGTATCCTCCTGTTTTTCTGTTAGCATGTCTTTATTAATATATCCTTTCTGTTCATGTTATGATGTGCCTTTTTTGTTTGTGCCATTCAATTGAAATGTCGTTTGTTCATTTCTTGAGTGCCTCTTGGAGCTGTTTCAGTGGAGATATAAAGTCCTGTAGTACAGGGGTTCTCAAACCTCTCCATGAAGTACCCCCAGCACTGCACGTTTTGTATATCTCCCTATATCTGACACACCCACTTCAGGTCTTGTAGTCTCCACTAATGAGCTGATAAGTTGAATCAGGTGTGATAGATGAGGAAGACATACAAAATGTGCAGGGCAGCGCAGGGGGTACTCCAGGACAGTTTGAGAACCACTGCTGTAGTATTTTCTCTGGGTTGCCATTGGCTACTGTGGAATGAAAAGGCCATTTGTCGTCTGCAGTTGTGCTACAGTTTTGGACTCAGTTGGGTTCAGTGGATGTGCTGCTTTCCCTCTCCTCTGTCCTCTTTTCTCTTGAGAATAATATGAGCATTCATCTGACCCACTTAACACATGCAACTGGAGGTCTCATCTAGGACTCCATGCTGCAGTGCTGCAGTACTTCTCAACATTTTCCTCTCTCACTTTATTTATTTTATTATTTTTTTATGCTAGAGATGCATAGGTCCAGCTGTTAGTTTCTTTGGTGGCCTGTTTTGTGGCTCTAGAAGACATGATGAAGTTCCAGATATAAAACTAGCCCTGATGTGAATGATGTTCTTCACCATACTTGAGCATTAATGTGTTTACCATATTCAGTGAATGTTCACATTTGATAATCCAGTAATTTCAATAGAAATCCTTGTGGTCAGGAAATTGCAAATTAGTCTCCATTTTGGAGTCTACATTTTGCTGAATTTTCATTAAAGTGAGTGTATCATTATTCCTGGCTAAGATGTTGGAATAACAATAACTGCTTGAAATTAGAGCTGTACTTTTTTGTTGTAGTTGAGCAAAAAAAAAGGGAAGATCCTTTGTGTTACAGTGATTTTACCATAATGTGTTAGTACAAAGGGTGAAGCAGCGGTGAACTTAATGTTTATTTACAACTTATACAGTTCATTTGTCAAATAGATTTGTTGCAACTTGTCAAATGTATAGGCTTCATTTGCTGTGTTTTCAGATGTGCATATTGCAAATGTTGTTTCATTCCGTTTATATTTAAAATGCAGAGATTGCTTGGTGAACTTTATGAAAATGTTGGCACCTATTGTTCTGTTTCCCAGGTGCTAGCGACAGGGCTGAGTGGACTGTATTCATCCCTGCCACGGAAGATTGAGGTACGGGGCGACGACTGGCACGCCCTGCGGAGGGAGGACTGGATGGGCGTCTCCTCTCTAGTGCTTTTCATGAACAGTCTTGAATTCTGTAACGCTGTAGTACAGGTGGCACACCCTCTTGTGCGCTGCCAACTCCTTGACTACCTCCACAATGGCTTCCTGGTTCCAGTCATAGGCCCCGCTCTGCACAAGGTGAACCACACTGAACTGAGCTGAAGATGTGAGCCATATTTGGCGTAGATGGCAGTTTCCATATTCATTATAAAACAATGTTTTGAATAGTATTTGTTTTCTCTTATTTTGATTTCTCTCTCTCTCTTTCTCTTTCATGGTTCCTCTGTCAGTCGTCAGTAGATGAGATGATAGCAAGCACGGCATATCTGGACTTGTTTTTACGCAGTATCACAGAAACTTCCCTCCTTAAGACCTTCCTGTGCTTCATTCTGTTGCATCGCCATGACAACAACACCATCCTTGATACACTACTCACACGCATCAGCAGCAATTCACGGGTTAGTTTGGCACATGCTACAGCTAGGGTGCATGTATAGATAGAAAAGACACTGTTTTGTCAGTGCTGTAGACTTAGCATTGAAGAAGCAGTATATTCCTGGGAATGTGGCGTGACTAAAGTTGCATTGTTTTTTCTTTCCCTCTCTTTGAAGCTGTGCATGGTCTCTCTGAGTCTGTTCAAGACATTGCTCAGTCTCAACTGTGAAGACCTCATGCTCCAGCTTGTTCTCAGGTATTTTGTGTGCTTGGGTGTGTGACTCAATTTGCAATCAAGAAAGCCTACAAAATAAGCTTTGGCTGTTTATAGATGGATTTGGACAATGCATTTTGCAAATTGCAATGCATTACATAGACCACCGTTAAAGGTTTAGGGTCAGTAAGATTTTTTTAAAAGAAATTAAATACTTTTATTTCACAATGATGCATTCAATTGATCAAAAGTGACAGTAAATACATAATGTTACAAGTGATTTCTATTTTAAATCAATTTTAAATAAAATTGTCATAGTTGCCACAAAACGATATTATTTCAACATTGATGTTATTAATAGGAAATGTTACTTGAGTGCCAAAACTACATATTTCTGTAATTTATGGGCCATGTGACACTAATGACTGGATTAATGGCTTCTGAAAATTCAGCCTTGCCATCACAGGAATAAATGACATATTAAATTATAATAATTTTTGGACAATATTACTGTTTTTACTGTATTTTTGATCAAATAAATGCAGCCTTGGTGTGCATAAGAGACTCCTTACAAAATACTTTTTTGTTACCAACGATAGTGTAGATCCTATATTTGTGTCATATATAGTAGGATTCTTATTTGTGGGTTTTATTAAGCATTTGATATTGCTCATACTTGGGCGAAAGAGACTAAAATAATAATTATTTGTGTGTAAAAAATAAAAAAGTTTATTTAATGTTTGTCTCTAGGTATCTGTTGCCATGCACACATGTAATGCTGAGTCAGCGAAGGGCAGTCAGAGAAACAGACCTCTATGGCAAATCAGCTGACAAGTTCCTTTCCCTCATACCAGAATGCTGCCGAATCACTGCAGCACCCTCTAGTGAGCGGGATGATGAACCTGCCTTTTGGGGAAAGGGTAAGCCTGTGTCAGGCACATTTACAGATGTGCTTTTAGACTGCACTGAAAAAACTTTCTGCTGTTCATGCCTACAAAATGTATTTTCTCTCCGTTTTTCAGTGCTAGGTAGTCCCACTTCAGAGTCACCGGTTCACCCAAGACCCAGCACTCCTTCCCGCCTCGCTCTCTTTATTCGACAGCAAAGCTCAGGAGGCCAAGCCAACCCCCCCTCGTCTGGCTCGGAGAATGCTCCCTCTTCTCCTCGTGGTAGTGTTTCCTCCCCGCTGTCTCCTGACAGCCCCATGCACCAACTCCAAGACGCTTCAGAAGGAGAGACTGGCTACCTGGAGTACCTGCGTGATGCTCGGAAGGGTATTGAGCTCTGCTCCTGGGCCTGTCGAGACTGGTCAGCCCCTTACGATGGAGAAAATCCCTCTCCAAACTCTGCTGATCCTCCACCTCCCGCTCCTTCGTCCAACCCCTCCCTCAGTATGGTACAAGAGCATTTCTCCATAATGGACCCCGCTCAGCAGAGGGCAACAGTGGTGGCTGCAGCATGTGCCGAGTGGAGCAGTTCAGATCGAGATAGTGGAGAGTGGGATGTTACCATCAGCAAGAACTGTATCAGTCTCACACCCCGCAGTAAGAAACACAGCCTTCTTCCCAGTTCTATACCTCTCCAATCTTCTTCTTCTGCATCAGTCTCTACAGAAATAACAGGTGCTGTGGAAACCGTATCCCAACACTCTCATTTGGCACCTCATCCAGCGCTCTATAATGGTATGGGGCAGGTGGAGCTCACAGAGAGTGTGGATGAGAGAATGGAAGTTAAGAAAGTGAAAAGGGACTCTGATGTAAATAACAGCGTGGTGGAGTCGGGGATGAACGGGTCGATGGGTATGTGCCCGGTTGACTACAATGTTTTACACGAAGGATCGGCAATGAAATCATCTCAGGTGCAGGTGAAGCCACATCTGCAACATCAAACCTCCGTGCCCTCTTCTACCCAAGAGTGTCTGCAAAGCGAGAGCCAGAGATTATCTCCTGTTCCTGCCTCGACCGAGACTTCCACAGTTCCCCGTGAAAGCAGGGGTCCGGAGTCCGTTGAGCGTCTGATTGAGGAGTTGCTGGAGCAGGCGCCGTCGGAGCCATTGTCTGGAGACTCGAAATCCCAGGGAATCAGCATTGAGGCTTTTCACCAGGAGCTGAAGGAGCTGGAGGAACATGTAAGGGAGAGGAGGGTTCTTTCACGCAGCTCGGAGGAGTCTTCTCGGGAATCTCGCACTGCTCCTGCTCCCAGCCTGACAGATGAGGACTGTCTTCCAGTGGAGACTGAGCAGTGCTCCAGTGAAACGAAGCCTGACAGCTCTGCCCCTGGGGTGTTTAGCCCCGCACGACCCCTCGGACAACCTCTTGCTCAACCGTACACAGGTTCTCGATGTAGAGATGACCAAATTAAAGATTTGAGTGCTTATGTTACTTGTGCAAGTTCAGCAAGTGCTAACCATAAGTCACTGGTTCCGCTTCTCCCTCTGTGTAGGTCCATTTATAACAGTCCTGTTCAGTAAACTGGAGAGTATGATGCAGAACTCCCTATATGTGAACATTTTGCTGACGGGTGTTGTGTTCCAGCTGGCCTGTTACCCTCAGCCTCTCCTCCGCTCTTTCCTTCTCAACACCAACATGGTGTTTCAGCCAAGTGTTAAATCACTCATTCAGGTAATGCAGCAATGCATAACGTAGAAATATGACAAATCCATCTGCATGACTGCTTAATATAAAATATGCAAAGACTGAATCACTTTCAGTTGCTCTTTTTATTGGTTTGTACATTTTCTGATAAAAAATATGAAATCAGAATTGATTTTAAATACTCAAAAACTGCCTTTTGTGTCATTGGCACCTTTTTGAGCTTTTATGGTTTAAAAAATATAAGCTGTTTAATGTTTTAGGGATAAAGTTTGAGTAAGCAATTAATTTAAAATTTGATTTGACTGGAACTTAAGTTTATAAACAAATGCATTGCATCAAAAAGATTTTTTTAAAAATGTTGATTTTTACTTTGACTCCTTTTTCTTTCGACTCTTCAGGTGCTAGGATCAGTAAAAAATCGCATTGAAGTATTTGCAGCAGCACACGAGGATTTCCCTGCCATGTTAAGAAAGGCTCGCCGCTTTCTGGTTGCAAGAGGAAAGTTAGACTGGTCTGACTCACCCATGGGAGTGCCCAACCTCCGTCGTTCAGACTCATTAAGTAGGTGGATGAAAGGGAATGAACATTCTCAGGAACAAAAACAAGAGATCATGTTTTTTTGATGTTTTGATGTGACATGTTTTTGTGACTTTCGCCTTTGTAAAGGATAATACACACTCCACACGGTCATATCACACACTAAGCCTTGAATGATATTTTGAATATAAGACCATACAAAATCCTAAATATATTAAATAGTATAACAGAAATCTTATTGGACATTTAAAGGGGTCTTAATTTTGGGAACAGAAAGCAGAAATTATTAAAATTCATGATTGAATTTATTCTGATTGCTGCACGCTCAAAGTCAAAATATGGCGTTATTGAGCATTCTACAGTCTCGTGTTTTCAGAGTAGTTCACAGTCAATGAATACCTTGCATCTATGCCAAGCAATTGGTTATGATCTGCTTTCGGTGAATTAAAAACAATGTTTACTTTATGGGTTTTATATTGTAATGTTGTAGATCAGTGTTTCTCAACCCTGGTCCTGGGCGCTCCCCCAGCACTGCACATTTTGTGTGTCTCCCTAATCAAACACACCTGATTCAACTCATTAGCTCATTAAAAGAAACTCCAGGACCTGAAATGGGTGTCAGATAAGGGAGACATACAAAATGTGCAGTGTTGGGGGCGCTCAGGACCAGGGTTGAGAAACACTGTTGCAGATGGTTGTAAAAGTGCAGATCTCCCTTATACAGCATGAGAAGCTGGAAGGCGTAAACCATAGACAATTTCAATTAAGAGTCCTGTGTATTTCAGACTTGTTTATAATTAAAAGTCCTGCATTATGCATAAAAAAAATTCAGGATATTTTTGGTATTTTGTTTACACAAACTATATAATTTAATTCAACATAAGCTCTTATGTGGCTTCTCTCTGAGCTGCCCTGTCCCAGGAAGACATATTAAACATTATTATAGTATCAGAAAAATCCATGTATGTATTAATTAGTGCTGTCAATCAATAAAAAAAACAAAAACTAATTAATCACATTTTTTTCCTGAAATTTAATCACGATTAATCCCACCTAACATTAAAGTTTTTAAATGTACTTTTTTATTGCAATAATTGCACATTCAATCTTCAAATTAATGTTGAAACAACATAAAGATAGTATTTTTTAATATTTGTTTAATGGCATCTTTATGACTGAAGGCCAGTATCACTGATACCAATACTACTGATGTCTCTAGGAAATAGTTTTTTCCCCCTAATATTTAACCATTGACTATAGCCGTTCAGCATTACAGTATAATTGAGAGCTGTCAATTTTAACATTTATTAGAATTTACCTGTGCCCTTCAAAATTTAATAAAGTTATGAAACATGAAATTCTAAATTAAATATAGATGAATCCTTAAAGTGGTGGTTCATTGCGATTTCACTTTTTTTAATGTTAGTTAGTGTCTAATGTTGCTGTTTGAGCATAAACAATATCTGCGGTTCTTAATACTGTTCCTCGCGTCCCCCTGCTCTGCACACGATCTGCATCTCTCTCTCTCTCTCTCTCTCTTATTCAGATCATCAGCTCAGCTCTGTTCCATTTATACACTTATTTTCACATGGCTATGAGAAGCGTTAAACATGGACGTGCGTGCAGTTGCCATACTGTATTAAAGCTTCAATCAGGATAAAACTGTATATTAAAAGCTAACATAAGCAGTAGCATTTACAAATAACAGTGTATCTAAAAGAGACAACAAAAAACATAGGCCTACCATTAAAAGCCATGCTTGCACAGGTTCTGCATGATCCTCTTCAGTAATATCCTCTGTTTCTCAATCGGGCTCAAACTGATAAGCGATATTAAGGACGCAGCTGTTTATAATATAACCGGAGCACATGCCGCCAAGGTGAGGGGCGGGACAATTAGACGCGCACTAGAGGCGGTTTAGCCAATCACAACACACTGGGCTAGCTAACCAATCAGAGCCCATCGCGTATTTCTGAGGGAGAGGCTTCATAAAAGAAGGAAATGATCAGCCCGTTTCTCTGAGAAGGTACAGAGCGGTTTGGAATAAAGGTAAATTATGTGAAAAAATTGTTAAGCATTAACATGTTAGACTGCACCCCAAAAACACAATCAAGCCTAGAAGAAACCCAGTGAACCACCCCTTTAAAGCTACAACAGTTATTGATTTCCCCCCCTTTTTTTGTTCTTTGATTAACAGACATCACAGCAGCTGGGTTATTAGGTTATTTTGGCTGCTATAACTTTGAGTTGCCACTGCTAAACGTGACATGGAACTGACATACATAGTTCCGCATCTAAATAAATGCAATTCTTGTCAAGAAAAAAGAAAGAAGCAGCAGTTGTGAGTGGGGTGGCCAACTAGCTCCGCCCCTGCGTAAATTGCGTTAAATATTTTAATATAATCACCTTTAACATGCTAATTTTGACAGCACTAGTATTCATATATTAGAACATAAACCAATGTCAGTACATGGGTATACTGTATATTGAGTAAAATATGTCTTCAGTATTTGCTCCGTATATAAACACACAATATTAATTTTATTTGTGCAGAAGACCTGTCTCAGAAGAGGTCTTAAAGTCTAACATTTGATTTAAAAAAAACTCTTCATATACCCTGAGAATTTGCCATTATGTTCAGTCAATTTAAAGGAGACATTTCACTTACCTTTCAACTCATTTTTGAAACGGCCTAAAGAGGAATTATAATGCAGAAGAAAACTTACTAACTTATTTCTTTTCTTTCTTCTCTCTGTCTCTCTTTCTCTCCCACAGTTAAAAGCCGAAAACCATCTCTGGGCGATCTTATCCTGAGGCACACCAACAGTCCTACGAGAGCTCGACATGCAGCTCAGTTGGCCTTGGCCCACGTGAGAGACGGAGGGCAGTCTCTGCACAGTGCTTTGTTTCGGGGCGGTGCAGCCAGTGGGGGCTCTGGCCTGGAGAAGCAGGCAGAGGCACTAAGGGTGAAAAACGCAGTCTACTGTGCTGTTATTTTCTCAGAGTTTCTCAAAGAGCTAGCAGCTCTTGCACAGGAGCATGCTGTAGCCCTGCCCTTCCCACCTAGTCAAGGCACTGAGGAATAACACCAGGCCAAAATGTTCCTCTATACTTGCTTTATCCACTGTTCCCGGCACTGAGCTGTAGACTATTATATCCCTGAGAATTTTCAAACAAAGTATTTTTTTCAAGGGACATAATGCACTCAAAGAGACAGGAAAAATCAGTTGATCATAAAAGTAAAGAGAGAGGACATCTCTTGTTAATAATCTCATGTTCATAATGTCGTTTTTTTTATTGTACAGGACCATTTATCCATTAAGCTTTAGGAAATTGTGCATCTAAATCTTGTATATAGTCTATATAAAATATCTATGTGTATAATGATTTTTGTACACTCAGAGAGACTTGCATCCTTTAAGCTGGAGGAATTTGGCCGTAAACTTGCACTCCCTACGTTTCTAAGTCATTTCAGAGACTAGCTAAAGTAGACACACTACACACGGTTCTTTTAAACTTTTATGGGTGCGGAAGTACCATTTACATTTTTAGCAATGTCGAACGGTTATTTTCTCTTTTATAGAAATATAGGTCTGTGAGATCACACCAGGATCAATCAGAAATAATCATCTGGCCATTTTCAAAGGACGAGATGTCAGATATTGTTTACCAATCACAAGCTGGGCAATAGGTCCTCGATATCGGGGATTTGCCCCTTTATTGACATCTCTGAAAAATCAACAAGTGACAAAATGTTCAAGTTCTGCCAAACTCTAGCACAAATCTTCTTGTCCAACAACTAGAGTGACGTTAGAGCCCGTAAAGAGGGGAGAGGGTTCAGCAGCACATTTTCTAGGATGTTCATTTCTGGACGTTTTAGGGAAATGCAAATGGTACATTCACCTAGCATGACATTACATATCCTCTTTCGTTTTTTTGGGAAAGGCACTGATTTTTCTGCCCACAAAGATTTCCTTTACTGGATGTTAGCGTCCCTTTTGGCGTCTGACTAGGTGCTAATGTCTTAAATATTTGGCTGGTATGAGCATAGAAAAGCTTGCTTAATAATTACCTGTCCCTTTAAGGAGTGAGCCAAGTTATGTCAATCATAAGCCATCTTAGTGTTGAATCAAAGTGTTTTTTTTTCTGTTCACTACTTGATTTTGCTAGTGTTATGGAGTATGAGTGAATTCATAGTGGAAACGCCATGCCACTTTTTAATTTGTTTATTGCCAAAATACTTTAGACACTTTAATTTTCAGAATGGAAGTTAGGACATGCATGTGCATAAGTTTTGTGAGTGTTATTTTTTTTTTTCCAGTATCATTTTTGGCCCTTGTGTCTTAAACACTTATGCTGATCTGAAATCATCCATCCAAGAGCTTTTATCATGCAAAGCCAGATGCACATTACCTCAGTTTACTTTTTCTTTCCATGCAGTGTTGTTTCTGCTTCACTTGTGTTCAGTAATTCTGTTCGATCAAATATGCTTTTTGATCAGTTTCTAGATGTAAGAGCAGACAATTTGAAAGGCGGTTATATATTATTTTCTAGTTGCTAAATTGTCAATCCATCCATTTTCCCCTCCTTATCTATCCACCCATCCACAGAGGGTCTGTGTGGAACATTAGTTTGATGCTTCTCTGCTTTTGTTAGTTGAAATATGAAATGTTTAGCATGCAAATTCCATATTTAAGGATAATGGTAGACCATGTTAGTGTCAAAAAATAGTTTGTGCTTTCCTTGAAACATGCTCTGATGTCTGTGTGGGTGAGAGATGAAATGGAAAGGATAAAGAGCAAGAGGTTGAATGAAGAAACGGTACATATATGTTAGGGTTCGTTTATCTCTATGGAGACAGCGGTTATTATACTTCCTTTCAGTTTCTAAGTTAGAAATCAAATAGGCCTATACAACTGATGTGTCGTAAGATACCAATGCACAAGAAATGCCCATTGTTTTTATGATGCAATTATATGCCTGATGTGGAGCAGATAGCATGTTTTTTTCTTTTTATACATAAGTGTTTGGTATGATTTTGGGAAAATTTAAAAAATCAGGAGCTCATTGATTGTGTGTGCTTGTTATTGAAAACTGTTTGTTTGATCAGTATACATTGCACGATTTTTAAGTTGATTTTTCTGTATTTGGTTTTCTCTTTATTTTTTCTTTCACTGTCCATTTTTTGGAATGAAATGTTGATGTTGACAAGGACTTCTGCAGCTTGTTATCTATGCAAACTGGTTTCCGTGTTTCTGAGTAAGTGAAGATGGTTAAACCTTTGGGGACAAACACAAACTAAATGTACAATCCAGAACCCCACTCTTCAATAATTGACTTATCCCTTATCAATTCAGTAATCTACTGGACTGTATGGAAACTCGTGCAAAATGATGAATGTTATCAAAATATTTTTCTATATATAAAATGGAGGAGGAGGAAAGTGGAACTGAATGGAGATTTAAATCAACGATAAAACCTTCAAAGACAAACACTAAAAGGGAATGTTTTTATTAATTTATAAATGTTTTACCTGGCAATACCTTTGGCTTCTTTGTCTTTATTTCTGAGAAGTTTAAAAAGGTGAGATCTTCTGTCATTTGTTTTAATTTAGATGTGGTTGATTGCAAATACATTAGAAATAATGATTAAAAAAATGTATATGAAATGTAAACAAAATGAGCACATCTCCTGAATACACAATTTAGACTTTCTCTGATCTGTTGCTTGGACTTAGATGAATCAGGATTTTAAAAATAAATGACACTGTTTTGATTGGTGCGCAGACTGGTTTTAAGCTGCAGATTAGATGACACCTTAAATATTGGCTTGTCAGAAAAATGACCCAGTTTACTCTGAGACATGCTCATCATTGGGATTCTCTTCCTCCCTATTTCTGTCATCTCTTCCTAATCTTATGATAAAATGCTTCACTGGAGAAAGGATCTGAGACAGACGATGCTGCTGTAAGGAACTTCACGTCTTTCATAAGCTTTTGGTCATGCCACAAAATTTTTAGTCACAAGATTTGATCTCCTTCGGCTGTTGTTTTTTTTTTTTAAATGTATCAGTTTTAATAAAAGTATTAAGCAGCAAGAAGTGTTTTTAACATTGATAATCAGTGTTGGGGAAAGTTACTATTAAAAGTAATGCATTACAATATTGTGTTTCCCCTAAAAAGTAACTAATTATATATATAGAGAGAGCGAGAGAGCACCCTCACTATTTTAAGGAGCACCCTCAGTGATTTGATTCTGGAGCCGGGCCTGATTTTAGGCAAGTCATGTTGGTTTGAGAAGGCTAAATTGATCAAACATAATGCTCAACTCACTGTGCCGCTGACGCTTGGTCGTTCTTTAAAAAGCTAAAACTTGAATTTAACAAACAAAATGTTCCAAACATATTTCTAAATGAACTTAAAGAAAAATAAATATGACCACTTTGCCATTAAAAACCAAAACTGAACTATTTTAATAGCGGTGTAATGGGGAAGAGACAGAGAAAAGTCACGGTATCCAGTCGGACTCGGGCCGAGAATTCTCATAAGCTGTTGGACAAGGACCGGGCCCATGGAAGGCTCTATTCGTTCCCTTGTTTCAATTAAAAGTTCCCCCCAGCTTGGCGGGCCCCCAAACTGCCCGGGCCCATGTGCACCTGCATACCCAGATACTACTCCACTGATCAGATTACTTTTTTAAGTAACTAGTAAAGTAACGCATTACTTTTTAATTTAGAAGGAAATATCTGAGTTACTTTTTCAAAAAGGTAACTCCAGTTACTTTAATTTCCATGTATTGTCTGACAGCTCTCATGTTGCCATGTTGAGAGAAATCGGGAGTAAGTGCAGAGGTGTTGTGCGCGCGCTGTGAGAAACATGATGCTACTGGGGTTCTACAGTAAATGTCAACATGCATTTACTCATCTCACCCGAACAAAAACAGATTCAGTATTCCTCAAAATTAATAAAAACAGTCAAATGCAAACACAGTATATTATACAAACCTGCAATAATTAAATATGTTAAATAAGACAAATATAGGCTATTTATTCCCATTTTATTAACCAATGTCTTTGCTTCTGACCTTTGACGATCCAATTCAACCATACTAAGCAAAAATGTTTTTTTTGTTGTTATTGCTGAATAGTGTTGAACTTTCTTCTCCTGCGTCATATTCTTCGTGCAATTTGATTGAGCTGCGCCCTCTACTGTACAGACGTGAATTTACATTTCTTTCAGCCTGACGCCTGTTTCACGCCGCACGCGTTTAGCAGCGCAGAGCGGGAGCAGCGCGCGCCCATTGTGCTTTCACACTGGCAGCGTTTGTCGCGCGGTGTGTACTGCAAATACAGACGGTCATCGTTTATTCGGTCACGCTTTTCAGGTGTTCTCCGACAACGGTCTGTCATGTGCTTTGGTTTATGATATGGGCAGCATACTCTGCTGTGATGCAGCAGTGTTCCCCTCTGTCCCCCCCACACACATGCATATAACATGATTTATATAGGTAGTTTACATGAAAAGTCATCTTTTCAAGTTAATAAATGCCTCTAGTTTTAATAAACAGGCCTTGGAAATTTGGGCAATAACTCATGGCATGTGATGTGTTTTCGTGTAGTTGATTCTGTGCTAACTTGATCTAATATTTGATGTTTTTAAAATCGCTAAAATTATTGAATATATTTTGAGAAAAAGGTCTTCTTAATGATTTCCAGTTTTGTTTAAGACAATTGAAGCAACAGTTTTTCAACAACTTTTACAATAATGTAAAAGTATGGTATTTGGGGTAAAAAGCTCACCTGCTGTTAGGTCTAAAGGCACAATAATTAACATGATAATTAATAGATGGCTGACTTTTCCATTTGTTGACAAGACAAGTCGGAGTTAACTCTGCAGGACACCGGCCCTCCAGGACCGAGTTTGGGCACCCCTGCTCTAATCTGTTAACATGGGCGCCGCTTCTGCGCTGCCTCTGCTCTGCTTACGCGTGCGGTGTGAAACCGGGCGTCGGCATATTTTAATTCATATCTATGTGTTGTATAAGTTAGTGATGCAAAGTCCGATTCATTTCCGCGAACCGGTACTTTTCGGACAGATCGGCTAATTGAACCGGTTCTTTTCGGACAGATCGGCTCATTGAACCGGTTCTTTTCGGACAGATCGGCTCATTGAACCGGTTCTTTTCGGACAGATCGGCTCATTGAACCGGTTCTTTTCAGACAGATCGGCTCATTGAACCGGTTCAAAAAGCCGAGATCGGCTCATTGAACCGGTTCTTTTCAGACAGATCGGCTCATTGAACCGGTTCTTTTCAGACAGATCGGCTCATTGAACCGGTTCTCAATGAAAATTTCAAATAAGTCATTTGTGTCAACGCATATTGAAACATTCAAAAAGAATGTTATTCGTGTGAAAGCATATTGCTGATTATTGCCATATAATTCACTTAGTTAATGGTGTTTGTGGTCACAGTTTCATCCGCGGATCCTCAGATACGACTGACTGACCAGTATTGACTAGCCTACAACTTGGATAAGATTCCTAAAAGTTTCACACATTACAGACATTGATGCACAAACGCGGATATGTTCTACATGTCTACAGTATAAAGAATGAATAAACCAGTCTTATAAACTCCTTGATTTCGCTTAAGCAACTTTAAATATAATATGCATGCACAATAAACTATTGTAACATTTATTTACATCACTCCACAGAATGGTTTTTGCAGGTTTTAATAAAATGTAAATTAATAACAGTCATAATAAACAAGCATATTTCCAGTACGCGCCTCAGGCTTGCACAGTATCGTCGGACGTGCTACTTCGGCTGTGCGTCCTGCGTCACCAACCCGGAACTAAAGTTAGATTCCGTTCGATTTGTGAACCGCTCAAAAGAACGATTCGTTCAAGAACCTAACGTCACTAGTATACAGATGCATCTCAATAAATTAGAATATTGTGGAAAAGTTCATTTATTTCAGTAATTCAACTCAAATTGTGAAACTCGTGTATTAAATAAATTCATTGCACACAGACTGAAGTAGTTTAAGTCTTTGGTTCTTTTAATTGTGATGATTTTGGCTCACATTTAACAAAAACCCACCAATTCACTATATCAACAAATTAGAATACTTCATAAGACCAATTAAAAAAAACATTTTTAGTGAATTGTTGGCCTTCTGGAAAGTATGTTCATTTACTGTACATGTACTCAATACTTGGTAGGGGCTCCTTTTGCTTTAATTACTGCCTCAATTCGGCGTGGCATGGAGGTGATCAGTTTGTGGCACTGCTGAGGTGGTATGGAAGCCCAAGTTTCTTTGACAGTGTCCTTCAGCTCATCTGCATTTTTTGGTCTCTTGTTTCCAG